GGTCACGAGTATATCCGTTTATCTTTCAATATTAAGGTGGTCCGTCATGCTCTGGGCTCTCCCTCGTTCCGGTGACAGTAAAATTTTGGATTAGTTTCCTTGTATTTGGGTTTTGGTTCACATGTTCTTCGTTTTATAACTCGTTTCTTGTCATTTCTCATATTAATTTGCAATCTCTTTTCTAATTACTTTGTTAGTCAACATTAAATCAAATCGACAAGATATATGAAATTTTATGGTCAACTATTTTGTAGCCTTAGAAATATGTTCATAAAAATAGAGTTATTGCGTACTTGTGAATGATGCCAACAACTTAACGACTTATATATGTTGTATGTCAACTTTTATATAAACAAGTTGGGAATGATAAGATTCGATTTTAACAAATATCCTCCAATTTAAGGCCAATATTAGTTTTAAGACCCGAAGCTTGGTCAACATATATATAAGGCAATTCAACATTTTGTGATAATAGAATTTCTTTATAGTTCTTTTTTTTTTCTTCTTGAAAGTTGACTATTTTGGTTAGACGTCAAAAGCTACATAACTAATCTTGACAATTTTGATGCTAAAGAAATTGACGTAAAACGAAATTAATAGAATTACCGTAGTTAATGATTTGGATTAATTTAGTTAAATTATGCTTTGTTAATTAAATACATACTAGTTTGTTGTGATTTGTGAAATTGCGAATGCATGGTTTGGTCTTTTTTTGCTGTCGGGTTTTCCCTAAAACATTTTCTAGGTTTATTGTTAGATTAGTGTTCGTCTGTTAATATCTATCGGATTTGGTCCAAGAATGAAATGATATCTTCAACAACTAGTAATGTGTAGTTTGAAAAGAAAAAGAAATAGTAATGTGTGCGTGAATCTCTTAAGTTAAATTTTGTTTTATATAAGAAAGTCACTAATTAGATAAGGCAATTTAGGTAAATGCGAAACATCGTTTGGTGATTCAAAGTCCAAGCCAACNATGGAAAAAAATGCAGCAAAAGGAAAAAAGGCTATTTGATTCTCAATTTGTAATATTCGACGTGTGTGGTAAGCTTATTTGTTT